CTTACGAGAAACAGCGACAGTTAGATGACCCTATTAATACCAAGCATATCAGCTACAGCAGTATCATCCAAGGCAATCTGGATATTAAGATGCCGTAAGATCCAATTGCGTACCACCCTTAGTTCAACAGAAGAAATCAGCAATCACGGTGTAAACATTTAGGCAACCCAGGTACAGCGGACCCTCGAGTTACAGCCAGCCTGACATGAACAACTTGGGTTATGACCGGGATTTTAGTTTTGACTTACAAACTAAGTCTTGAGGTGTGACCTGAATGCCAGCCGCCTGTGCTTCCAGATGGTCTCAGATACAGATTTGCCCTTAAAGAGTTTGGGAAGGAACATTACAGCATCCTTCCTGTGTTGGGTGGAGAAATCCTGGGTCAGGATTTCCAGAAATACAGGACACTGAGATCTGCCTGTGTACAGGAGAGAGACTCTGAAGGCTGTGTAGAGGAGCCTGAGCCTTCAATTGACCAACTTGAGTTACAAGCAGCCCTCGGGAACAAATTGAGTTCTTAAGTCAAGGGTCCACTGTAAATGTACTAACTGGGACAGCTGTTATCTCCGCTGATGACAGAAAAGAATTCAATAGTAATTTTGCAGGCTTAACTACCAAAACGTGAACGAAGCTTAATGGAAATACTATTAAAGATACAGGGTTTGGGAATGGGAGAAGGCAGATGCATTGTGTATAGGTGCCAATTCCCTATAATGAATGTACTCATTACGAACTGCAAACATGGACTTAGAAAAAGAATAAATAAAAATAAAATAATATATTAAAAAATCTGGAAACAAAATGACAAGCTGCAGTAATTACAAATGATGAAATATTTACTGTCATGGTTCATGCACAATGTCATTTTTTGAAAGACAGAAGCTTACAGGTAACAAAAGCACAATATCAAATTAATAAGGGAAAAACTTGTTTTATGGGCCAAGGATTACCTTCAAATATATAAGATTTGGTTGTGAAATATAAGCCGATAGGCACTGTTATCATTAATGCTGTGAAGAATAGTAGTGTCTTCAGGGTCGACGCCAGTGAACTTTCATTTCTAGAAAAAAACAGAAGGAAACAGTGGTCCGCAGTGTCGTATACAAATATTTATCCCGGCCCCAAAGCTATACACATCTACAGAAGAGACGCTAGCAAAACCTCCTCTTCCGTGGGAGTCATGACCCGAGGGCACAGCTGGACCTGGAATGTGCGACCCCACTTTCACGAGCCTATCATTTCATACCCAGTGTGATCCATTCCCATGAGGGTATCCGTCCAACATGAGGCTCCAGGCCAGCGCAATCTGACCCCGAGTCCCAGGAGGAAAAATCAAGTTCCTCTGCGACACCGGAAACGCCTCCGCTTCAGCGGCAGAACCCACACTGCTCACAATGAAATCAGCTCGCAATTGCAACAGACAGCGGCATAGTGAGTTTGCGAGGGAGGGGCCGTCCTTCAATTCCCTCCCTCCCATGGATCTGAGGGTCTATTTAAACAGAAATTAGAATGACGTAGAGAGAAATTTCCATGTACACCCATCTGTGCCGTGTTAAAATGGAGTAAACCGTTACAATATAATTTCCCTTTCGGCCAATTACCACCACCCAAAACCTGTGCCACAAGGACCGCCCCCTCTGCCACCAGCTATGCCACTGTGCAGAATCCTGAAGCTAAACCACCGCGAGGCATTCTGCGACAAACAACGCAGGGAACAGAGGGCAGGAGCAGTGAAATTAAGAGATGGCATGATCTATTCATGGAAAAGCCCTGCAGCTGCCTCCACCCATCCCCAGGCCTGGCCACAAAGGTTAAGAGGTGCCTGTCCCTAGCCAGATGTGGTAATGCACTTTTCATCACAGCCCACTAAAAGGCTGAGGCAGGAAGATTCGAGGCCAGCCTGCACAAAAATAGAAAGAAGCCTATTCCTAACACAGAGAAACAAGGTTTTTGCTTGTTTTTAAGTGAGCTAAAAGTTCAGTCCCAACATGTTGTAAATGTCAAACACACACAAAATTCATTGTGGGGTGCACTCAATGGTACAGCACTTCTGTATTGTGAAGCCCTGAATTTGATCCTAGCACTGAAATTAAAAACTTGCACACACACACACAAATGTTGGGTGAAAGACGTGATATTATAACCCCATGTCTGTTTGACTACATGCCCCACAAATGTGTGAGAATGCTGTCCAAAAAGTTCTATCTCCTTTCGATACATCAATGGATCTTCTTTTAACCAATTTCATTCTGGTTCCCTTGTATCTAATATACGTAAGCCCCCTTAAACTGTTTCCTGTAGTCAGGAATTTATTGGATAATCTTCCTAAGGAATAGGAATGCCTGTAGTATCAGGTCTATAAAAAGTACAGTTACTATTTCTCCCATTCCTTTGTGAGTCGTTTTTGTGATTACTAAAGCAGTTTTGAGAATAAGTTGATAAAAGAACCGAGTTCCAGAGAAAGCGGTTATTTGCTTTTGTTCTTTATCATTCTTGGGTATCTATTTTCTGGTCTGCCTTTTTAAAAAGTTTATCATTGAAAAAAATAATTTAACAATAACAGTGTTTTAAACTAAAGAGAACCGCTTACTTCCCACCATCCAAACATAACCTTTTCTTTTCTACATCTTAATTTCTCTAGCTATAGCCTACCTTAACTTTGTAACATATCCTCAGTTCCTTCTCACTACTCTATCCTAAACTTCAAAAACTGGATTACTTTTCTGGGTTATGACCTCAACTAATTTAAGACTAAGTATAATCATACATAGCTTACTGAGAGGGTTAATGTTCTGAGAAATGCACTGTTAAATGATGTGGTCATTGTGCAAACATTATAGAGTATACTCACTCAAGCTACGATGGCTAATGTTACGGGACCACCACCGTATACGTGGCCTGTCACTGATCAAAACATCCAGTGTGGCACATGACCGTGCGGACTCAATGTTAAGTGTACAAACTTTTGAAAACTACTTAACTTCCCCCAATGTTTACAGCACATTTTCTCCCCGACTTCAAGCCATAGCCCACTGCAACCATCAGTTCTGCTGGCACAAACCAGCCCGGGCAGACTCTGCAGTTTATTACAAATCAAAGCAAATGATGTCGTTTGATTTCTCTTTTATTTCTGACTGAGGGCCACTGAGACTGGTTAGAAATGAGGAAAAGGAAAGCCGGAATCAAAGTTGTCTGAGCACAGGAAAAACTTCAGGGTGAACTTCTATCAGGCCACCACTCTTAATGCCACCTAGTTTTCCCACTTCACATAAATTTCTGCAGCACACATTGAACAGGTAAAAAGAGTCTACCATGTTCCTTTCT